CACATCGAGGTCACGACTCGGTTAGCCTTGCTCAACTGTCCGCCCCACAGAGACACGGCATATCTTTATCTTTGTTCATTCATGTGATATTTATTTTCCATTACTTCACATTTCACCTATGTGTTTAGACTTTTCATGAGACTAACAACTAACCTGTCTGAACGCTACCTCATTACCAGGCCACTGCCACTGCAGAGAATAGAGGGCGCTGTTTCACTAGCAGTATACATTATGATAAATCCTGATGATCATTTAAGTTATTTGCGACATCGATACTTTCACTTAACCACCTCAAAAGGTCTGAGTCGTTGGCATGCACCAACTTCTAAAATTTGACAACTATCAGAGTCTGTGTAAAACATTTTTTTTTTGTTTCTTTAGGTTTGATTCATCTTACTTTCCCCGTGGAAGAAAGGAACTCATGAATATGGCTTATACACGGATAGTATTTGTAGCTATTACAGTTTGTTTACTACTTGTCATTCCCTGTGCACTGTGTAAGTATTCGATCACAAATCACCAACTTGATTTTTAGAGTTCAGTGTGTTTAGGTCTTGGTCGGATTCAAGATAACCGTTCTCAAATAATAAATATCGGTAAATTTAATAATGACATTTATATATTATTACAAGTGTACTCACGAACGTACGCCATTGCCAGTATACTCTGTGTTCAATACTATGTATATGGTATATCATTTACAAGGTTTAAACGTGTTTTTTTTTTCAGCTGCAAGTTTTACCTGTATTAACAAGGGAGTGGATGGTGCACATGCTACCAACTATGCAACGTGTCCATCAGGTAGATATGATTTAGTAGTATACGGTCTATTTATACAGGCACAGACAAGTAAACATCCACTTCTATAGAAACAGAAACAGAAGCAGATTGGAGAATTTATTTGAGCTACAACAATACCTGCGTTCGCGCACAGCTCTTTGCCACGGGTCAAGAAGTCAAAAAAGGCTACTGCGTGCTAAGAGAACGCCGGGGAACGCTTAGAATAGGCTAAGAAACGCTTAGTACGGGCTCAGACAACTGAGATACGGATTAATCTGATCTGTTTTTAAGACCCCGTCCAGATCATTAACAGGAGCTAACTTGAACTTGTTGTAGCTTGAACGCGATCAGGAAGGTACACATGTTAATACATGTACTACGGTTATAAATGCAAATGCAAACTCAGAATGTACAGATTGCAGAATAGCAGGAAGTGATACAGAATCCCATCGTCAGTTCATTTATTCCTCGAGTACAATAGATATTAGCAGAGGTACATTACTTGGGGTTTGCAACGCACATAGTACTGTATGGTGACATCATGCCAAGATCCCATTCAAATCTCATCTCATAGATAGCGCGACTGATGCTACGACCTTCTGACATGACATAGGCGGTTTGTAATAAAACAATAAAACATGTACTACCACATTCATAGTGAAAAAATGTAATACATCGAAAATGTACAGAAAATATAGTTATCATAATCCATCATATCGTGAGCAGCTATTTTGATCCACCTGGACATCCCAGTATCCTAGTTACCTCGGGCATGCGCATTCGCATTTTTCTGAGTTGGAACGCTTATGCGAGAGCGAGATTGTAACGGGATCTTGGTATCATGTCACCGTAGTTGCAAACTCCAAGTAATGTACCTCTGATACTAGTTATATGCTATATATACTGGTGTTGTCATGTCGGAAATGACACGCCGAAATGAATAGTTTTGAATATAATAAATAGTAAATTTTACAAATGAACATTGGATACAATGACGTTTTGGACGCTTAGCCCGAGCAACCGTCCCCCAACAGTGACGGTGTCCGAGCTAAGCGTTCACGCACACTTCGTTTCGCCCGTTAAAGGGACTGTGCCCGGGTCTTAAAAACATTTCTTGACCCGTGATAAACGTTCGCGCACGTTTTCTTAGCAGGGCCTAGATTTTGTTTTATCCCGTACTAGGGATCTATGCGTGAACGCTACTTGCAAGACCGTTCGGTCACAGTGCCCTACTTAGACAAACTTCCCAAAGACTATCAACATTACTGTGTTTCCTAAATACCGATCGCTGTAACACTATTCACGTATTCAATATAATATGTTTATCCATTCGTTCAGTTGAAAACAGTAAATACCAGTACGCTTGTAAATGCTTTGATTGATTACACGTTCACAGGTTACGAGGTCACTGGATGTAGCTGTGGTTACAGATGCGGTTCATATTCAATTCAATCTCTGGGAGATGGAAGATCTAGATGCTATTGTCACATTGGATGTATGAGTGGCAATCGTGCAATTGACTGGACCTCGGCAAGATGTTGCAGAGTACAACCTCAGTGAATGATAGAAAAGATGACATTATACCATTCACCGAATCTTTATCTAGTCGCTTTTTCCAAACCATGTCTTCAGTTTATTGACATGCGTTGAATTACTTGTGGCTCACTTGTAAATACAACTGTTTTAAAACAAAGAATATATGCAATTTACGTAAGGTAGCAACAGGATAAAACGATTTAGTAATTGATCTGTTATTATTCCACAATTGTGTTTTTGTTTTTTTATTCCGACTATTAAACCACTGAATTATCGGTAATTTTTTCCATAATTATTTGAATGTAGCGAGAAACCAGAGGCAGATAAAAAAAAACGAAACTCATCTAGCCTACAGCGTTACAAACGTGACTAAATGTTGGCGTTGTTATGTCACACACATAGAGGGAGTAGTACAATTGATGTTGGCATTACATCAAAAAACTTGTACAACTTTATTCAATATTTAAAAGTTCACAGCATATCACACTTATCCGATCACTGTGCGATCTCACTTTCTCTGAGTATGAATGCATTTGAGGGTGTGGAGGGAGAGTAACAAAAATACCACTACACTGGGCCTTTTACCATCAAAATATATTTGGGACAATCAGGTCAAGCAACAATACAAAGAAACACTAGAAATATTAAAAAATAACATTGACAGTTTTATAGAAAAAACAGTATGATAGTAAAACTGATACTGAAATTGCTGTTAATGATTTTTAAAATCTTATATTAAAGATAGCTGACAAAAGCATCAGAAAAATTACACCTACAATTAAAAAACGTAAACATAAAAATAAAAGTAAAAAAATGGTTTGACCAAGATTGTCGGTCTACACGAAAGAAACTTCACAACTTTTCTAAAAGTTTAGAGAAATAAGCTTTAGATCCTTATATACGTGGCCAATACTTTAATACATGTAAATATTATAAAAAGCTTATTAAGTATAAAAAAGTAAATTATCCCAGCTTAATGAGTTAGAACATTCTAAGGCAGATTCAACTAAATTCTGGAATATTCTTAGGGAATTAAACAATGATAACACTTAATTCTAATAGCGATATCCAACCAAAAGATTGGTTAGATTACTTCAAACACTTACTAAATTAATAATAATAATAATAATTTGTCAACCTCTCTTATTAACACTGATCTGGAAAAAGAAGAAAGCCGAGTACAACACGGTGTTAGACTCACCAATTGTTAAAAATGAAATTAGGAAAGCCATTAACTTACTTAAAAATAATAAATCCACTGCCGAGGATGAAATTTGTAACGAAATGTTGAAATAAGGCCAACATTATTTTGTAGATGCATTACATAAGCTTTTCAATATTATCTATAACACAAATACCTACCCTCAGTCTTGGAGTACGAGCCTTCATACAATTAACTGTAACTGGAATTTAACTGTAAACCCAGTATTAGTTTTTAACAAATCAAACAGATGTCTAAACAGTGACACTTTCTTTCTAGGGGGCAGTGAAATTGTGACAGTCAAAACATTTAATTATCTTGGCTTAATAATCAGTGCAAATGAAAAATTTAAGGACGCTCTAAAGCACCTTAAGAGAAAGGCTCAAAAAGCACTCAAAACAAAATTAGGCGCAGTACACTATTTGTCCATCACCTTGTCACTATCGCTTTTTGACAAACTAATACGACCGATACTTGTTTATGGTAGTGATGTATGGGGTGACGAGTTCTCATCCAAATCACCAGTTGAGGACATTAATGTTCAATACTTTCGATACCTCCCTCAACACCGCTGAAGTGCCTAAACGAACGCCAGAACGCTGTGTTCTTCGTGTTATGACTTTGAGATGGACTGCGAACCTCCAACAAAGAAAACATGATCTTTAAGTACTAGATAAGATTGAGGGATTGAAGGACAAAAAAATGCAAAAAACTACGAGTAACAGGCAAAAATGTAAATGTCCCGTAACGGCGTTCGAATTCTAGCTGACAAAATTGCAGTGAAATTACACCCGGGTAATTGCCATCTGTTTCAAGGAACACGGGACAACTCAGGATTCAATGACGATATAATGGTATTGTAATTCTCCAATTAATTACAGGAGATGATGAAGGTAATTTCGAAAGCTGCAGATTTGTGCCGAGTGTACACCAACCACTGTATTAGAGCGACGGCGGCAAGGTCTTTCGGCCGGAGTTAAGACGGGGCATATCATCACAGTCACTTGGGGGCTGAAAATCAATAAATACTAATTTAAAAAAAAAAATCATCCGCTATACGTATATAAATAAACAAGTTGTGAAACATGGCACCTAGTAAATCGACACCCTGTCGGTTTCAAATTTCGATTTCTTACCTTAAAATGCGAAACAAAAAGTGCAGAAGGGGTCAGGTGTTATGTTAATAACCATTGTTCATAATCGCTAACTTGGTTTTATTCAAAACTGCACAAATCGCGAGTTTTCTGGTGATATCCGACAATTTCATGGTCGAAAATGGCCAGCAGCCAGAATCAAGGGGGATTCGCACAGAGTTCTTTTAATCGACCGTTATCGCTTAATTTCCGACCGCACTGTATTTTCCGACCAGAAAACGACCGCATTTTTATCGTAATTTTTCCCTCACCGACTCACTGAAAACACCGACCGGTCGCCCAAACATTGGTCACTTGCACAGGAGTGATCGCAATAGTGGTTTTGAGTGATATAGTATCAGGGGGAAATTCTCTTCCTCGGGGTTCTCCTTACTTGCCAGGGGGGAATCTCGTCTCGTCTCTATATCTCGTCCCCTTGAAGGTACGGGATCGGGAAAGTCACTTATACTTTACAGTCAAATAAGACACACACAACGAAATACGTTTCAGCTCTCGTCTTAGTCGGTCAATTGAGCACTCTATAAGACACAGCGCCCTGGGGAAAAATCCCCAAGACTATCACAAGGCTGACCCAAGACTCTCTTAGACTGCGTCAACACTCGCCCCAAGACTCTCCAGGACTGCTCTAGACTCTGACTGCGTCTATCGTGGTGTACTCGTCAAGACCAACTCAAACTCTCTTTATTCATTTTCAAAACTCTAACCAATTACAATGCAGTAAAAAGACTCTAGGGCGTAACCTTCAATCATAAAGCCAATCACACTAAGTACTGAATACGTCATATCTTTTGATTAATCGTTCACTACATTATTAACTATGAATACCAACTGTCAGAATCGCGACGGTTATCTGGTAATTAGTTCCAAATCACTGAGCCAAGTTCCGTCCAAAACTTCAAATAGGCCTAAACGATGACAGACATAACACAGCAATTCAGCTAATAATCAGCTAATTAAGTCGGTCAACAGATACGCAAAAACAAATTCATGACAATAGTTTGGGGATAAAACGGGTACTAACTATTATTAAATTCCGCACTACTCTTCAAATCTATACCACATTGTATCGTTCGTGGACGAAACTTCATCTGTGTCCAATATCAAATAACTGACTTTGCGTAATTATTATGAAAGCGATATATTACAATGTTGAAATTTTTAGAGCCGGTACAACATTCTAAACAAATTTGCGTAATTAGAAAAGCAGCGCACTAAGTAAACGACCTCAAAATAATAATATACAAGTTTGCGTACAGCACCGTCAGAAATAATAACAACTTTACAAGATCGACGCGCGGAGCATGAAAGAAAAAGATTGCTAATGGTAACGCGCCTGTTCAGTGCGTGACTTGGGGGGGGGGGGGGGTCAAACTTCGGTCAACACACATTTGATGTCAGCATCGCCGCGCAGTAAGTTACGCAATGAAGCACTTAAAGTTCAATTGCATCTCAAAATGATGTCGTTGATCACTCAGTCTTTTGCAAAATATTATAACTAGTTTCCAAGCTTTTGATGCAGCCAGATTTATTTAACTTTGTGGAAATATAATCTTTTTAATTTCCCAGTCCTTTCTGTTCATTCATTGTCTTGACAATAAGTGTGAATTGCTGTGCGAGCTTTTCGTACCCGACCGCTGTCAGACGGCGTCATTAAAGGAAACATCAATTCAAACAGCATAATGACCCCTGAAGAAGAAGCTCTACAAATGTAGGAGAATGCAATTTACAGTTTTATTATATCACTTTTCATTCTCTAGATATTCAACTTTTCATCAGTATTATGTAGTCAGCCATCTTGATTTTCACGCAAAGGATTATGGGTAAAGTATGACATCATGGACTGTTGTCAGAAATTGAGAAAATGATTTCATCTATAACTTCAAAGGTTTAACTTAAAATTGGCTGAAAGTTTAGAGATTGGTAGCATACATGTACTGGTGCCATCCATGTTTATAAAATAGTTGTCATGGAAACAGAACTGAAAATATTAATTTTTATGTTTTTCTACCAAATTCTCAAATTTACTTATATTGTATACAATTTACCAATGTGAGTAGGTTATATAGGTAATATATCACATGTTGACAACAAAAAGGGGACACAAAAGGTTCATTTTATATTTCACGACTAAAATATCGATTTTTATTTTGTTAACGTTTTTAGCAATATCTTCACTTCATGCGTATTTGTAATATTCTAATTTCCACTACTATAATTATATACATGAGTAATATGCACAAAACAAACTTGAACTAATTCGCATCAGTATTTCTCATGTTGTAGATGAAATAATTTTCTCAATTTTTGACAACAGATTCTATGATGTCATACTTTACCCATAATCCTTTGCTTGAGAATCAAGATGGCTGACCACATAATAATGATATGAAGTTGAATATCTAGAGAATGAAAAGTGATATAAAAAATTGTAAATTGCATTCTCCTACATTTGTGGACCTTTTTCTTCAGGGGTCATTATGTTGCTTAGATTGATGTTTCCTTTAAATCTATGCATAAAAGGCGGGCGACCTGCGGCTGTTTGATTTCCTACTCTCTCCTAAGCTAGCGATTGGTGAGAATGGTTATTAATATATTACCCGATGCACTTGTAAATCGGACAGTCATACCGCAACTGTGTTGAAACATTTTTGGGGCAGTAAGTAACGTCAGAATATTGTTTAAAATAAAATATTCCATCCCAATCAAATCTAGGTCAAAGGATCAAATTGCGTGCATATAATTATAGATACTAGTAGTTAAAAACTAAATATATTTGAATGTTTGACGGCTATTCAACGTTTGTGCAAACCAGAATAAAAAAGGTAGTGTATACAATAGAGATATGACTGAGATATCATGGCATTTGTTTACAATATTGTACCGGCTCTAGTATTTAACACAGATGAAGTTGTTCGCGAACGACAC